TGTGTGTTTATTCCCCTAAGGATTAAGGTTAAGACTGTGCTACAAAAATACCTCCTGAGCCGGGGCAATGTTTTCCATCCTCCCTCTGTCCTGTCTGCCTAGCGTTCCCTCACCGCTTTTCCTCACAGTTCTCACATGAAAAGTGATCTAGGGTGACAGGAAATGGGGTGACTCATCTGACATCAGACAGCTCTTTTGATTTGTCCTTTTCCTTGGCCTCAGTCTCGGCTACTGGGAACCACCGTGTTGTCTGTGGATGTTTTTATTTTGCAGAAGACACACATGGACTGCAGTGCGACTCTGAGGATTTCAAGGGCTGATGCGCGTGGCTGTCAGACAGCTCTTTGTTTTCCACAATCCTTTGACTAGAAAAAGCAATCACAGTGTGTTTTACTCATGCTGACCACCAGCATGGGCCAGGGATGCCTTCACTGTGGTTTGTGTCTCTGGTTGTATGTATTCATACCTTTCTTTAAAGGTAGGTTTTGTTTCTGTTTTATCTCATAATCTCTTCTTAGTTACATATATTTACTCTTCTAGATGTGCTTGGTTGAGCAGAGAGATGAAATATTCTACGGGTAAATATGTAGTGTCTGCACAGGAATTACTGTTGTTACAGCTGTTAACCTATTTTTTATTGGTTAAGTTTAACGTGGAAAATGGGATTTGGGGGGTGGGATGAGGAGGATGGTGAAGCATTTTAAACCCTATTTTATTTTATTTTCCCAATTAAAACATGGTAATAATAATAATGACGCAGTTTTCTACCCACCTGTGCCACGGATGTATTCAACTTATTTATTTGTATTTGCACTTAATACTTTTTCAAAACGGATCTATTTGTTAGCTGGTACTGTTACTCGGAGTATGAACTCTTCCGTTTTGTAGGTAGTCATCTTTGTTTTGGGAAACATGTCATATTACGATGCTGAAATGTGTCCTGAGGGCAAGATCATTCATTTTAAAAGTTGAGACTTAGAAACGGACAACAGCTGCTCTGCCTGGACAAAACCATGCTGCCATGTGCTGCCAGCTGTGCAGGGATTTGCTCTTTAAGACTCACGGCGGGTTTCTCTAAAATGTCTCAAAGAAAAAAGAATGCCTCACGGGGGGAAATGGGTAATGGGGAGGATTTTTGATTGTCTGTTTTATACAGACATATTTCTACCATTATTTTATTATGATGTCAAGAATGATGTTTTACATTTAAAATTGTTCTTTTCTGCTGAAATTTCAGTGTTTCCAAAAGCTTTTGTCAAACGACTCTTTTTATTCAATATTATAACACCTGACCTTTTGTTCATTTTTACCTAATTAATTTTTCAGTATCTTTAATGATTTTTTCTTTCAGGGTGTAAATATTGTCAACAAATTGATAGAATAATATTTCAGCTCTCAAATTCAAAATCTATAAGGGAAAATATAGAGGGGGTATTAATGAAGCGAGTTATGGCAAATGAAGGCAAGTAACCTACTTTCGATGCATTCTTAGAAAAATACAAAGAGGTAGGCATTAAACTAGTGTCTAAAATTAAGCAACTGAAAATGCTATTATTTAAGAACCAATTTTGCATTATTTTAAAAAAACAGTTTAAGTAATTTTGCCTTAAAAGCCTTGCATTTTCACAAATCCCCACACTAATTAAATTTCAAAGTTGATTTTAAGAAAGAGTATGGCTTGTGAAGACCTTAATGATCTTACTAGCTATTTCAGTTCGCAGCTAGCCACCTTGCTAGGTGAAGAAAC